ATGGATGGAGGTGGCCCACAACCCTGAACCCAAGAGCCTTGTTAATAGTAGAACTCTCCTCCACCACCCAGGCCACTAGGCCTCCTTCTATTCTGGGTTCAGTGGCCATCACTGAGGTAAGCAACAGCTACTGATGGACAAATAAACCCAAGAGCCTTGGAAATGGTAGCAACCTGAAAACCACTGGTCTGCTTCTCGTTTAGTCTCATAGTCATCATCCTGGGAAGCAACCTTTATGGAGATGTGACCTAGCCACTGCTACTGAGGATTCAGAGAAGAATGTTTTTCACACCAAAGTCCTCAGTACTGTCAAATTGTTCAACATCAGAAATGTGTATTTCTGATTTGCGTTACTATCTGCTTTGCTGCTATTTCCTAAAAACCATGGGACCTTTCTGTCTGACTTGCAGATGAAGCTTCCTATATATATTGTCCCTCAGTCAGACAATGCATTTATGTCCAACAAGTGCTTTATATGTTTACAGTGTTCCAAATGGTGATGATGCAAAGAAAGACCAAATAGTCCCTGCCCTCAAGGAGCTCATCTTCTAGTGAGCAAGACTAAGGTGGTAGTTCTGTAAGTGGAGAGAAGGTGACATAACATATAGAGTTGTTATGAAGGTAGAAAGACAGTATTTGGTGAAAGATTGAACATGGGGGGTGAGTGAGAATAAGGAATTAAGAATGACACCCAGGTTGCAAGCCTTGGTGACTAGGATCATGGTTCCCTTTACAATAACAATGAATTTGGGATTTGGGGGAAGGATAATAAGTTCTGGTTTTGACATGTAAAGTTTGAGATGTTGGAGAAGACAAGGATTATCAACTCAGCAGATAAAACAAGGAAGGAAAAGCCAAGGGTATTCTAATGGTTTTGGATACCCAGCCATTAAGTTCTGCAGCTCCTCATGCTTACTCTTATTCTCACAGATAAGTAAAGTTCCCAAAACAAGGCTAAGCCTTCCTCTCAGTTTTCTAGGGGCACACCTAAGGATGTGGAGTGTATCTTTTCTATTGAGCCATCGTTCCAGAGAGCTCCCAGTCTTGTCAGTTATTCCCACCAGTCACCAGTGATTAAGCAGCTCACTGTCACTTAAACCAAGTAACATGAATTAGCTCTTACAAAGGGATATTTACTGCGAAGAACATCACAAAGCATTTCTGCCCAATACCTCAAGGCACATGCTTAGTACTTGGGGAGAGTAGGTGCAAACTCAAATCAGTTGCTAGGTAGCATTTACCACCATCAGATTCACGCATCTGAATTCAGCTTGGACACTAGATAAATCTCTGGAGCTTCTTGGCTGCCTTCAATCTCTGCTGGGACAAGCAGGTTGCTCAGGACTTGGTTCCAACAAATCTTGGCATGAATTCTTCCAGCTTCTAGACTTCTGGTCCTCATGATTCTGACCTTTTGAGGCTCACAAGGTTGTATCCATCTCTAAAACATTTTCATTTAAAACAGGGGCTATCTTGTTTTCTATTTGTATCCCCAGCATTTAGGACAGTGCTGTTCCCTTAATTATTGTGGCTGTTTGTCCTTCATTCTAGAAAAGGACCAATGCCATCGCAAGGGGAATGTCTTGACTTGTACATGAATTGGATTTAAGTGAGACAGAACTATGCAGTCATCAACCTCACTCTTCTCCTTCAGTCAGTGCAGTCAAGTAATGGCTTAGAATGAGTATAAATATAAAGGTTTTCTGTTCTGGCCAGAAACTCAGAGTATTCCCCTCCTAGACTAACATCTTTGTACCCTTAATAAATACTTGATGAAGGATTTTTCTTTCATTCATGATGATCTTAACAGACCCACAATCTTTAACCCCTTGTAATCTAGTATCAACCTCTACCTATACTACACTGTCTGGGTTCTCTTTCTGCTTCTCTGACTCCTTTTTTTTCCTATACCCACTAAATTTGTACATGACTCCAAAGTTCAATTCTTATTCTCCTTTTATACTCTTTCAAAAAGCTCCTCTTCCTCCATGATTTCATCTCTATACATATGATTCCTTAATCTATTTTTCAACTCTGATTTCTCCCCTAAACTGCAGTCCCTCATCTCCAACTTTCTTTTTAAGGGAGTGAAGGAAGGCAATTGGAGTTAAGTGACTTGCCCAAGGTCACACAGCTAGTTAGTGTCTGAGGTCGGATTTGAACTCAGCTCCTCTTGACTCCAGGGCTGGTGCTCTATCCACTATACTAGGTGCAGCTAGGGCTGCACCTTTGTCTTCCACTTTCTGCTACATCTGAATGTCTTAGATAGTTCACTCTCATATGAAATGGAGCATGGAGGAAGTGTGGCTTAGTGGAAAGAATTCTGAATCTGTCATTTACTGTCTGTGTGGCTTGGACAAATCATTTCACCTCCTAAAGTTTAAATTTTCTCCTTATCTGTGAAACTAAGGGCTAAACTAAATAATCTTTAAGAGGATATCTGACTCTAAAGCCTTATTCTATTTCTGTGCCTTGGTTCCTGCCACTTTTCTTACCTAGAATATCCTCTACCCTTCTTACCTAAGTCCTGTTTTTTTCAGTAACCAGTTCAAGTCGCTTCTCTCATGAAATTTTCTTTGATCATCCTTAGTGATCACTTTGTCCTCCAAACTTCTATGTCAGCTATTAATCTATGCCATTTATTTGACCCAGCATTGACTACTGTAAAGGGTTGTTTAGCCTTGTATGTGCCTATCTTGAATTCCTGAGCTAGACTGGAAGCCCTTTGAAGACAGGAATTGTTTCTTCTTATAAGTCTATAGTTCTTCATACAATGTCAAGCACATAGTAGGTGCTCAGTTCATTTTTTACTGATAATGAGCAATATCAGGTACTGCACTGATGCCCAAGGAATGCCACAGAGTTTGGGGGAACCCCTCCAGACCTTGGATAGATTCTTTTTGGAAGATATGGACAAAAATTAAACAGTATGAAACTGCATAAATGGGTAGCAATCCACACTACTGAAGGGTGTACTTTCATTAATGAGATCACAGATCTGTTAAGGTATAGGAGTATGATGAAGGTGCAGCAGTATATTAAATCTATCACTGCTATTGTATTTATTACCGTACCTGGCAGCATAACTTAACAGAAGTGCCTTGGAAATTTAAGATCATTGGCTCTTATGGAAGGAAACAGTTATGATATGTTCTGTTATTTCTTGGTACTTCAAACAAATGAATGAAGCCAGCCATCAAGAGATGACTCAGGAAGACACTGACTGCAAGTATTTGAAAGGTTGTCCTGTAGAAGAAAGGTGGGAATTCTTCTGTTTGGCTCAAGAGGATAGAACCAGCAGCAGTGGGTGAAAATTAAAAGAAAATTTAGGCTTGATGGACGGGAAAACTTCCTGACAATTAGAACTGTGCGAAAGTGGAATGAGTTACCTTGAAAGCTGGTGGGTTTCTCTCCCCTCCCCCGCCTTCCCCCCCTCCCCCCCGGTCTTCAGAAGTTCCTTGGCCACTGGTCAGATTCTTTTTGTGTTTGGATTAGACTAGTTGGTTGCTAAGGTCCCTTCCAACTCTCAAATTCTATCATTTTTTGAGCTGGAAAGCTCCCAGCTTCGCCCTTCTGTGCACCACCCTACCCCTGGGATTGGGTTTCTAACCTTTCTGACTAATACATATGTGTCATATGGCACCAGAATATACCGTTACCATATCTTTTATGTTTGCTGTCGTTCTAGCTTGTTTCTTCTTGGAGATGGAATGGAAATTTCAGTAAATACTTAAAACCTAAATAGGTTTGCAAGATCTTTCTTTTTAAGCCTTCTGATCATATGCACTGGGATTATCAATAAAAGAGATAAACTGAGCAGATGATTATATGAAAAATAGTTGAATGCCTGTGTAATGTTCTAGCAGACAACTAAGAAATGAGTAATTTCTCCAAGCCGTGGTTTTCTCTCATATAAAATGAAGTTTTAGACTAGATGAACCCTTAGGTCCCTTCAAGTTCATTTGTTCTGTAACTATGATATTTATATTTTCAAAATCTTTATTCATTTATCAAATATTTTTATTGAATCCCTTTAATACATAAGGCACTATCAAGGATATAAAATATATATAAGATGATACTTCCCCTCAAAGAGCTAATAGGGGAAATAAGAAATGTTTACAAGAACTGTACCACAAGGTAGGATGAAATATGTTGCACACGAGAAGGATGGCAGAGTGGTCCAGATCACTATCCTGCACATTTGTTATAAATAGCAGTAACAGTACATTTTATTTTTGTAGCACCTTTCTTTCAGGAATGCACATTTTCTGATAAATGTTCTTTTTTATTGCATTATGAAATGCAGAATTATTCAGACAAATCAAAACCAACTGCTTTTTTATTGCCCATGTTTCTTTCATGTTACTATCATGGTTTCAACCACTAGGAGGTACAAACCAACAAAGAAACACAACCGTGACCAAAACATTATAAATCATAAATGTGCTTCAGAACTCAAATCCTTTGGTCCATATGAAAAGACAATTATTATCTTTATTAAAAATAGAGGGCAACTGGAATACAGAAAAAAAATAAGTAACTTGTCGAAGTGTTGCCAGAAATAAAACTCAAGTTTCCTAACCCTAAATCTGTTATTCTGCCTCCTGAACCACAAGATCATTTAAATAGTCTCAAACACATAGTTGGTAGTAGCCTCTAGCTTTGGCGATATGATGGAAGCTTCTTTCAGATGCCTTAGCCCAGAGTGATCTCTCCCTTTCCTCTAAATTCTTATAACACTTGTCTATTTTGTTCATTTAGCATTTAGTATATGCTTACTTCCGTTTTTTTTAACCTTTTATTTATATACCCTATCTCCCAAACTAGATCATAAATTCCTTCAGCTTGTCTTTGTACCTCTTCTAGTCCTTTACATATAGTAAATTGGCACTCAGCAAATGACTGATGGTGTTGGCAACACCTTTTATGTTGGTTAATGATAAAGGATTTCTGGATCTGGCTTTGAAAGAAAGAAGTAATGTTTTTGTTTGTTGTAGAATAATGGCACGCATCGGATATTCTCTGGCATCCAGCCTACGGGAATCCCTCATCTGGGCAATTACCTGGGAGCCATTGAGAGCTGGGTAAGTCTACAGGAAGAATGCAGCTCTGTCCTGTTCAGCATTGTGGATCTTCATTCCATCACTGTCCCCCAAGATCCAGCTGTTCTTCACCAGAGCATCCTCGACGTGACTGCTGTCCTGCTTGCCTGTGGCATAAACCCAGAAAAAAGCATTCTTTTTCAACAGTCTCAGGTCAGTTTGATACATCAGAGTCCTGTACAATCTCCTTTTCTTGTATCTGAGGAAAGATAAATTGTTCTTCTACCTCCTGTTTGTTTTTCAGGTATTTAAAGGTGATCCTGTCAGTTATGAGTACAACAGCCACATGGTCCTGTGATCCTTTCCTTCTGTGATTTGTTGTTGTTCAGTCATGTCTGACTCTTCATGACCCCATTTGGGATTTTCTTGGAAAGCCATTACTTGTTACTAAAATGTAGAAATGCCATTTGACAAATGATCCTTATTGGTTAAATATGTTGTCCATGGAGTGAGATTTAGGGCCCTCTATTTTCCAATAATGTAGACATTTCCACATTGGGTATCCCATTCATTGGGTATTATCCATTGTCTCTTCTCAGAAAGCAGGTCTTCAGGAGATCTCAGAGAAACCATTTAGAAACTTAAGGTAGTCCACAGCTCCCATGCCCAAGCTAAAGTAGACTTGAGGGCAAAGCCACCAGGGTTGCCTTAGGTTCTTTTCATGAATGATTTGAGTGATTTCTCTTTGATCATCAGATGGGCCAAGGAACCCAGAGGTAAAGACCTTTGAAGACTTCTAATAAAAAAAGTACTCAAGTTTTTTAAGATAAATTTTTATTGATATCTTTTGTTTTTATATTATCTGAGTGGCAGCTAGGTGGTGCGGTAGATAAAATGCTGGACCTAGAGTCAGGAAGACTCATCTTCCTGAGTTCAAATCTGGCTTCAAACACTAGCCATGCGGTCCCCTGGGCAAGTCACTTAACCTTGTTTGCCTCAGTTCCTTGTCTGTAAAATGAACTAGAGAAGGAAATGGCAAACTACTCCAGTATCTCTGCCAAGAAAACCCCAAATGGGGTCATAGAGAGTCGGACATGACTGAAAAATAGCTTAGCAAAAACATTTCCTACAGTATCCCTCTATCTAACTTCTCCCAGAAAATCATCCCTCTCTTATAACCAAAGTATTGTTTTTTAAAGAAAAAGAGAAAGAAGAGAAAAGGCCATAGGCAAAATCAATCCACACATCTGAGCAACATCTGAAAATATGCAATCCCCATACCTGTAGACCTCCTACCTCTGCAAAAGAATGACCAGGAGTGGGTGGTGAAGGGAGAAGTGAAAAGATTCAAGTTTTGACTGGGTAGTGATGTTCCTTGGCCAAATCTGTGTCCATAGTTCAGTTACAATGTCATCGCATGATGTTATAAAGAAATATGCTAGCAATGTAGATGCTGTGCTAGATCTGAAACTTCTGCAGGTCAAAGACAATATCTTGTACATCTTTATATCCCTCCTAATTTCTGACACAATATCAAACATGTAACATAGCTGCTCAATAAATATTTATTAAATGAATAAATGAATTTAAAGAGAAAAATGCATTGATTACCTTAATGTTGTTTCCTACTTTAAGGAGAATTTTACTTTTTAATAGAGTCATAAAATCTTGAAGTCAAAAGGGACCTTAGAGGTTATCTAATCTAATTGGGATCCACCCTCCCAATTAGAGAATCCCCTCAACAATGTCTCTGACAGATAGATATTTATTCAGCCTCTTCCTGAATTCTCCAATTGGTAGGGGTGGGGTATCTTCACTGCTTTGTAAGGCAATTCATTCTATTTTTTGGACAGCTCCAGTATTTAGAAAATGTTCCTTTAGGGTGAGCCATATTCTGCCTCTCTGTAACTTCTGTCTTGGACTAACTTCTGCTCTGTTCAGTCACCCGAAATAAATCAAATTTCTCTTTCAAATAACAAGCCTTCAAATATTTAATGAGTTATCATGATCTCCTTAAATCTTCACTTCTCCAGGCTAAATATAAGCAGTTCCCTTTTTTTCACATAGTATAAATTGTATATATTTTATCATATGAATAAGACCCATCCATCAAATTTCCCTCTTGAAATGTTCCTAGAAATAAACACAGTACTGTTGGGTCTGTTTGGACCCATCCATCCATGATACAGTTGGGATTATTGCCCTTTAACATATGCTGCCCAAGATATGATTAGCTTTTTTTAATAGTCTCATTATACTCTTGGCTCTTAAGATTGCTGCCAATGAAAACTTTTTCATTTTTTCACACAAATTTTTGTCAGGCCAGGTTATCCTCTGTCCATTATATGGTTTATTTTTAAACCCAAATGCAAGAATTTGCATTTGACTTGACTACATTTCCTCTTATTGTTTTAGGCATGTCATTAAAAATTGATTCGTTATCTAATGTATTAGCTCATCCCTCAAACTTTGTGTCATCTTCAAATCTGTTAAGCATCCCTTTATGTTTTCATTTAAATCATTCATAATAGGCAGTCTTATCATTCTTAGTTCTAGAGTAATCTAGGGAGGGGAAGGTTTAGGTATTTTCTAATTAAGTATAATATATTATTCATAATATTCTTTAGACTTTGCTTACAGCTACAATAACTTTTACCCCCAAAAGCTCCAAATTGAAATTTACATTATCTAATTATAGTTATAAAATATAAATTTTTATTCTATATGTAATTGTTAAAGCTGTAAACACAAAATTATAAAATAATTATGAATGTTTTATGTGGAACATTCTGTAGAAATTAAAAGAAGCATCCAGCAAAACCTCATGTTTACTATTTATCTGTAAGACTTTCAAGTTAAACATTTTACAAAGTTTTTGACTATGCATAACATTTACAGTGAAATAAGTTACGACTTGGAAGATGCTTGATATAACATAGTCAAACATAAACTTAATTTTGTGCTTTATTTCCATGAAGGTTTGCAATATTTGGCTTAACACCAGACAAATACAGTCTTAAATCTGGTTCTGCATTAAGTTTATTTCTGTATCTTGATTTCAAACAAGACTAAGTGAGAATACTCGCTCACACAGATATATGGTAGAAAATGATAGAAAAACTTTATAAACTCCCTTTCTGAGAGATGGAATCTCATTTGTTTAATTTTTAGTCATCTAACCAATCAATGAAAATGAGCAGCTTGTTGCAATATAAAATATTTACTTTTCAACTATGAAAGACAAATGCTATATTAGATGATAAATGTATTTAAAGTTCACTTGCAAATATTGCTTCATTTTTAGCATTTACACATAAACTCACCAAAGGAAAAAATGCCTCCAAATTTGACTTTCTTTTCTTTTGCCACTGACATATCAGCCACAATATCACAGAAACTCTGCTGAACAACTGACCAGTGTCACCAACCAGTTTATTTGAGTCTATCAGATAAAAGACTAGTAACATAAGATAAGCTTAAAATCCAAAAGCAGCCTTATGTAGTAAACTTATAAAGTTTGTTTCTGCAGGATGTTTGTGATGGTGTCAAGATTATAATGCACATGCACAGCAATCATGGTCAAACATGGATCATTTCAAGCAGCTTGATATTTGTACTGCAAGAATGCAAACATTCGTAACATCTTTCTTGTGTGGTTATACAGATGATGCTGTATGATTACAGGGTAACAGAGGAGAATGAGGGAGCTAGTCTGGTACAGTAAACAGAATGCAAGTGAGAGTATGCACCTGTGTCTGGCCATCCATTGGGAATCAATTTGCACTTTAATGTCAAATCTTTGTGGCAGTTTGGAAACAATTTGGTGACAGAATAAGAAACTGTTCTTAGTCAGAAGTGGACAGAATTTGACATAATCAGTGCCCAAACACCAAAATCATTGTGTGCATGACCATGATAGTTTCAAATTCCTGCAGAGACCAACCTATAATGCTTCAAATATGCACATACTCGTTGTCACAGAGGAGAAATGTATCTGTAACATAATTGGACAATTATTTATTGCTTTAAGGTGACACTAAAGAATTTTTAGCATGAATACTTTAGAGTATCATTGTGAAACCCCCAAGGGGTTCATGAACCAGTGATCTAGTGCATCTCTCATGTTTTATAAGTAATGAAATGGAATTAAATGGTAGAGTCAGGACTTCAACCCAGCTCTTCAGACTCTACAACAGCTTTGGATTATATATATTTTTATAATCAATGTAGCTTACACTAAGATCACCCGATTAATTACCATGGTATCTCTAGTAGTCTTGTCTCTACAACCTTCTAATTATTTTGCCCTTCTCTTTCCTTGTTTTTCTGATTATGTCAAGCAACATATATCTGGTTGATTTTTACGAAATCTAATGGGGAAAATTCCAACATTATTAAAAAGGTAAATGAAGATCGACTAATCTTTCAAATATTGATTTCCCACTCTTCCCCATAGTTCATTAATATTATAACTGTTTAAAGTTTTGGTGGCCAGTGTTAATTGAATATCTCTGAAGTTATGCAAATCAATGAAAAATAATATTCAATTTATGTATGACTTTTCAGGAATATAATTGTAGTGGAAAGTATGATATACCTGAAATGGTGTTTTTTGTTTGGTTTGATTTTTCCTTTAAAAATAAATTTATTCCTGTATATTATTAATTCTGTGCATCTTTATTTCTGGAGATAATTACAAATGTAGAAAATGGTTTTTTCTAAGCTATAATACTGATTTTGCCAATAGTTTTTGTCTCCATTCCTTTGCATTCTTTCTGAACAGTCTGACTGGAACAATTTAGGCTCATTGAAGATTTTTCTCATTATTTTCTTTTTCTCTCTCTCCCTCTGGCTGCCGGTCACATTGCTTCCCCTAAAATATGTTTGCCATATGTGGAGAATTTTACCGACTACCTCTCTTCTGAAAGGGGTGTGTGTGTGTGTGTGTGTGTGTGTGTGTGTGTGTGTGTGTGTGTGTGTGTTTGGTAGGTGTTTCCTTACCATTGCTGGAGTCAATGGTCTTTTATTTCCAGCAGGCCTGTATACAGATCCAATCTCTGATTCCCACAGCTGTCTCTGAATTATGAGTCTCCACATTTTCAACTGCTGCCTTCCCCACACTGTAATCACTGCAGATTGAAGATAAAAGGTGGAGGACATAACTTGAGACACTAACTCACCATCAGAGCCAGGAGAGATGCCCTGATCTGTCA